ATCGAGGATGCGGACGTCAAAGACGACGTGAATATGGCGTGGCATATCCATACATGGGCACAACACGCCATTTTCACGTCGTCTTTGACGTTCGCGTCCTCGATCTAAATCTGTCTAATAACGGACGACGAACGTTTTCACATTCCAGGTGACCGATCGTATCAAAGGTTCCAGTACGTCGTTCGCAGCCGAACACCGAGGACTACTCTACTCCTTCTTCATGATGCCTTTTGTAACTGCATTATCAGGAGCATGTTTCCTTATCGCTTCATTTTATTTAATCAAAGACAGAGCGGTTGTAAAAGCCACCGTTACTGGTCACTCTGAGGAGAACAGAACTTTACTGAATCATGGCGAGTACGACGATGATAGCGTCACCGACAATGACGTCAGCAATGACGTCTTACGTGATGATGTCGTGAACAATGACGTGACAAATGATGAAATAATAAGTGATAACGTCAGATCTGATGACCTCGGGGTTGATGTCGTCATGGCCGGTGATAACGTCAGAGCTGATGACGTCAGAGTCGATGACGGCATCGACAACAATGGACTCGCTCAACCAGGTCAAGGGGTACAATGCGATACATCAGGTGACTCAGTTTCTGATGACATGGAAACGAGGCAACATTTAGTAAATGTTTGATGAAATAGAATAGATAGATTATCGTAATTCACTCATTTATGATTGTGTCAAAAATACATACATGGGGGCAGGTGATTATAAATCCTAATTCTTACCTAAACCAGTGGCGAAGCTAGGCCATAGCAACAGGTCATGCTATGTAAATTTGTAATGATTTGCATATTTCAAACCTTTAGAGATGTATTGTCGCTAACTTATCTAAAATAAAAAACAAATTCCGAAAAGACAAGACATCTTGAGAATTCAATATATGATTCAAAACAAGACCCAGGTTGAGACTGTAAATTTTCGACTTTATTTCAAAGTCATCTTTGAAATAAAGTCGAAAATTTACAGTTTTCTTGTTTTGAATCATATATTGAATTCTCAAGATGTCTCGTCTTTTTGGAATTTGTTTTTTACTTCATTTTTTTAAATTGTCGGCTGGTCATGATTTTCTTCTTCTAACCTACAGTATCTAAATGCAAGTTTACTAACATATCATGACCATGACTTACCATGGCTAGCTTCGCCACTAACCTACCATAAACCCTAATCATCGCTTAATTGTAACAATAGATAACCATAATTAGACTGTAGGTCAAACCTAGCTAACAAATTAATTTTCCTATTTGTATAAAAATTGGCTTCATTTATACTGCAGACAAATCATCCTTGAAAAGGCATAATCATTTGTCTGTCTGATTATCCATCTGTCTTAATCCGGGCTGTTGTCTAATACCTCCAAAAAAATAATGTCCTAAATTATATATAAATATATTGATATAAAATAAATTAAATTTTCTGCGGGTTGTCTGAAGTTTCATTTAGTAGAAATTTTATTGTCGTCATGCTTTTTGAGTCGATATAAAATGTGATGTTAGCTCCTTATTAATGGCAGAAATGAAAAGAGCAAGTCGAAGTTAGTAAGTACAAAATATTTGGAGGCAATTATTTTGAAAACTGTGCCACTCATGGGTGCTATTTTTAAAAACGTGAACTTCAAAATTTTGTTTGAAAAGATATGGAGATTTGCATTGGATTGAGGCTTGGAAAATTCCATACATTCCTGTTCAAATTTTCTGTTCTTAAAAATAATGCTTGTGTCATCGTTTGTAAAATATAGACAGTCCCTGAATGCTGTGTACTAATTCACTATGACCTGCTTGCTTCATTTCTGGTACTTATAGCGTGCTAACATTGAATAAAAAAGTGTGATAATTAAATCTATTAGTAGGTAAGTATCTATAAATAACTTTGACGTTTCCTTTGGTTAGTTTACCATATAGCATTACAAACTTTTACAGGTATCAAAACTATCAAGTTTTATTAACACAAGACAAACACAGATTATACATTAGGCATCAGACATTATATAAAACAAAATATATAGACTGTATTTTAGGTCTTCTGTTCCTTATTAACAAGAGGTACATAACGAACACCCATCAGGCGTTTGCGTGCGATGCTACCATCTGGTTGCTTATCGATCTGTTCAAGGTATTGATCACCATGCTCAGCACCGACTGGTATGAACAGCCTGCCACCTGGTTTCAACTGGTCGACCAACGCCTGCGGCACGGTCGCGGCTGCTGCCCCCACGTGGATTGCATCAAACGGAGCCTCTGGAATGAAGATGACACAAATTATTTATTTCTACTTGATAGCTCTATCAGTTCTAAACTGTTCTACCGGCCACCTACCATCAGTGCAACCATCCCAGCCATCACCAAACAACAGTTTAACTCGACCATCGTCCAATAAGTATTTGTCTTTCTTTAAAATATTTTCTCTTGATAAATCTACCAAGCCTTGGAGATGATCAATCCCAATGACCTTGCCAGATTTTCCAACCATTTGTGCTATACATGCACACAGATACCCACTGCCTTTGAAGGTAAGGAAAACAATTTTAGTTTAATTGTTTTTGTTTGTGGAAACACCATGTAAATTTATTACTGCAAAGCTTTCGATCCGTAATTTTAGTTTGCAGCTTTCCCTGAGCACTTTCTTGCAGCTGATGGTGGTCAAGCTGTAATTATCAGGGTCAGAAAATAACATTGAAGTTTTTTCATTGTATGTATAGTAGTCTTGTGTACCGCACAACACTGAAACTTTGCAAGAGTGGATATTAACTTGTATCAGGGGCAGATCTAGCCTCGTCTGCAAGGAGGGGTGCAGGTTTTCCATGGGGTGGTGCATGAGGGAGCCTTATTGTGCACTCTCTGTAGTGTGCAATGCTACTATCCCAACACCATTATTTGAAATGGCTGAATCTGCATGCTTACCGTTCTGTTACATTTCACATTATCTTTTGTTTATAAAGTTTATATCGGCTTTTTATCATGTATGTGTGACTGGACAGTTGCTGTAGCACAGAACAGTAAATTTGCTTGTTCAAGTGCAGTATATTTCAGAATATGGCTGTATAACAACCTCGACATGTTTGAAAAGCAGAAAATGCATTTGAAAAGCAGAAAATGTATGGTCTGAAAGCAGATTTTTTAGGGTGGCGTTGGACTTCTCTAGGGGGGTGGGGGGGGGGGTCCTAACACCACCAGGTAGGGTGCAGAAACCCCTGCACCCACACAGTAGATCTGCCGCTGGCTTGTATGGCAGGCGGGTGAATGTAAATTTCCAGGGGTGTGGGGGTATATGCCAGTAATGTACACTAGTCAATGGTATACTGTGCTACCATCATTACTGGTACATGACAAGCTATAGTAGCTACCACCTACCAGAGCCCACATCGAGCACTTTACTGCCATCCTTAATATTATTTTTCAAAATCTCCAATGCATGTGCATGCATGTGTGGTGCGCTGATGGTAACACCAAAACCTATGGGTTGCGGTGAATCTTGGTATGGCGTGCGTGGACAATAGTTGCCTCGATCAACATTGCGCATGGCCTTCTCCACCTCACCACTCTTAATTATGCCATAGTTTTTTAATTGACTGATTAGGTCATCATTATCTCGTCCATGGGATCGCCATTCCATGCCTGAATGATATTCTTTGCTCTGTTTTTCGCTTTTTAAAACTAAATTCTCTTTTGTACTATCTTTGCAGCTCGGGTCAGTTGAATAACAGTGTTCCGAGGCCTTGGAAACTCCTAACAGCACAGGAATCAGACGAAGTGTGGACCAGATTATTTTATTTTTTGCAAAACGACCAGAAAGACTTTTCATACTGCAGTGTTTTGGTGTTTACATGAACTTCGGTAAGTACCGTGTTGTATTCGGTCCATCTTCGTGGGGGTAGATTTTAAAATTTCTGCGAGAGTTGATGATTAGTTAAAGGATATTTTTGTATCCTTTTGAGAATTTATTTCATCAAAAATTATCTTAAAGTATATTATAACAATACTGAGTTGATTTGGTATTGTATTTTGTGAAGTAGTTTCCTTTTTTAATTACTTTTTCGGTGGTTTTTCCAGGTATATTACTGTCACGTAATGGTTTAAGTTCGGGTAAAGCCGTTTCATCTTCGGCACAGAATATTTGTGTCTTCGGTCGACATTTAATTTAAATGCATAACAAACTGGAGCTAACTCTCGAGCTAACTTTAGTTTCTTGTCCAAATTTCTCATGTTTACAAGTGGTTTTGCCAGTTTACGGCCACATTTTATACTCCGAATTTGTAGTAGGAAAACATGTATTACAAGAAATAAAAGAATATCTTGCAGTATTAATATTAAAAGACCATTAGGTACCGCAGGATATTTGCAAGGGTCGTCTGAATTTCATCATTCTAAGTCTGGGTCATTTTATCAAGATGCACCAAGTTTAGAAAACCAATTTTTAGGAGATGTTTTCTTAACGACATCTCTCAAGCGAATTTTGCCTTCAGAGGTAGGTATGCATTTATCTGGGTTGGGAGGTGGGGGTAGGGGTGGCACCCCTGACTGGAAAGTTTGGAAATTGCACGCCGGAGATTTCGAACATTTAATAGTAAATATATAGAAAGCATCAAAATTGTGTGGCCGATATCTCTGCCGCACGATACAAACTTTCCACACTGGGTGCATGGCGTCCAAACCTATTGTGGTGGTGGCCGGTTGTATTTGTTTGAAAGCCGGTTAGTCCGACCCTCACCTCACATGACATCATAAAACCTGAGAATACCAAACACCACACTCTTTCTCCAGATAGCTGAGGCTTTCCTGTGTAGTAACACTGTCACTGGACCATTGAGTGATGGACCTTTTTGGACCTTCATCTAGCTAATTAAGAGACTAATAATTTAAATTGATATTTTTAACTAATATTTTCAGGTGTTCAATGATGTAAGCTGTGATTTGGAAAGATTTGGCGAGAGGGTCGTTGGTGAAATATATCAACTGGGATATAATGCAGAATTAAATCAACCCAAATTACAACAATATGACGCATGGGGACGACGTGTTGATGACATCATAACTTCGCATGAGTGGAAACGTCTGAAGGAAATCTCGGCAGAAGAAGGATTGATCGCGATTGGATATGAGAATAAACATGAGGAATGGAGGTGTGCAAATAATATCTGTTACTCTGCATGAGCATCGACTTTAGTTGTGAAATTTGACCTAAAATTTGCCATTTTATTTAGTCGTCTTCACCAGATTACCAAGCTCTATCTGTTCAGTCCATCATCAGGACTGTATTCCTGTCCTCTTGCTATGACAGATGGCGCTGCGAAAATATTGAAGGCAAGTGGCGAACATTTTGCAAAATACTGGTGGTGTGAATTTTAAGACCATAATAAATTTGCAGCTTTAACCAAGAGATTCTCTCAGATCACAGTTAATATAAATTGTGCTCAGATACACTGTACTGATTATAATATTTCATAACTTTCTAGGAAGGTGGTTACTCAGAAGATTTTCTGAATGATGCGTACAAACGTTTGACATCACGAGATTCCGCAGATTGCTGGACATCAGGACAGTGGATGACTGAACGAAGAGGAGGCTCTGATGTTGGTAAGTCAGTTAGTTGGTTGGTTAGTCAGTCGGTTGGTGGTTGCTTAATCAGTCGGTTGGACAGTTGGTTAGTCAGTTGCTTATAATCAGTCGGTTGGACGATCGGTTAGTCAGTTGGTTAGTCAGTCGGTTGGTGGTTGCTTAATCAGTCGGTTAGTCAGTTGCTTAATCAGACAGTTGGACGATCGGTTAGTCAGTTGGTTGGTTGATCAGTCGGTCAGGTTGGTCGGTCAGTTAGTTGGTTAATCAGTCGGTTGGTCAGTCCCCGGCGAAAATTTGTTCATGAAGTCATGAACTTTGATGGTGCATTCATGAACGTTCATGTAAATTCATGAACAGTTCATGCTCCGCTCATCAAATATTTTACCTATGGTTCATGAACAAGTGTTCATGAAGTGTTCTTGAATGCTCTTCATGGACTGTTCATGAACAGTTGATGAATGGCCAATCAGTTCATGAACTTTTTGTTTTGAACAGAATAGTTCATGAATGTTCATGAATGTTTATTTGAATATTTCATGAACTGATTTATTCATGAAAAATTCATAGAATTTACTTGATGAACATATCATGAAATTTTGATGAATTTGTACTGATTCATGAACGTTCATGATTTCGCTTTGTGAACTACCATGAACTATTCATGAACAGTTTTAGTGGATTATAATACATCATAAATAATTCATAAAATGTATTAATTTAATGAATGTCGATGCATGTTTAATGATATTAACTTTACGATCGTATATTACGAGTCTGTAAAGAATTATATTCACTACTGTAGTCTAGCTGTATTAAATTTGTCATTTCAAATTGAGTGACATTTGAAAAAGTGCAATTTCTGAAACATTAGTTGATGCGTGGTTATAGTCAATATATAGAAAAAGCTGTCTTAAAGGTCTATACTTTTATATTATTCATTTCTATATTAATCGAACTCTGAACGTCTTTTCTGCCAATTTTATCTGATATCTGATCAGGTTTGCGCATCTTAGCCAATGTAGACAGGCTGACGGCCAAGCCTCGAGCTATATACAAATAGTCAAATACAGCTCACATTTAGTGTGGGAAGACAAATTTGCGTGCTTTTATAACGCAGCACTTCAGTTTTACTATGTTCTTCGTTGTTCTTGCTGGGTTTACTGGAGTTTGTTGGCTTGGATATGCATTTCAAGAATACAATGTTGGTGAAACTACCAGGAGGGGTATAGCTACGTCAGCGAAATTCCAGCAAATAGTATAGCGCAAATTAAGCGCAATCAAGTAAGTTATAATAGTATATCGGATCACCGTTTTTAATATGGCCATAAATTAATATGCCCAAAACGTTTCAATAAATGCGTTATATCAAATGTTTAACAAACATAGTGTACATATACTCGGAACTATAGGTGTCTCCTCAATCTTTAATTGCCAAGTATTGATCTTACAGTAGCTAAATTTTCTATGGTATGACAGCGCAACCGCATGGCGCAAATATTGTACGGATCGAGACAGAGTCGAAGTGATAATACTGTGATGAACTGTATATACAGTATATAAGAAATCGAGTTTTGAAATCGATTAAATTTATATTAATAGTCGTGCATGATTTTGCCATCAACTTATTCGAATGAGAATTATTATTGAATTAAGAAGACTCGTAAAAGTGGAACGTATTTCATTTCTTAGCATTCATAATGTACACTATATAGATTATTACGAGCACACATTTGACCAAGAAATGCCTAAATAAACTCCTATATAATCTATACGCAAATACGCGATTTTGTTAATGGACGTATAACGAGGTTCATGCCATTTGTTGTAAAATGCCCTGTGGTAAAATGCGGCATGCCTGGTCGGACGACTTAATTTGTTATTTCAGCTGTTTTGACAGTAAGTTTTAGTAAGAAATGCGTGCATGAAGATTGACTAGTTATTTTTAAGTTTGCATCAATTGCATGTCATACTGAACTGCATATATATGAACACATATAGTAAAGACAACCTTGTAATAGTTTAACTGTACACAGTATAGGTAAAAATTGAAGTGTAGCTGGATTCTAAAGACTAGTTAAAATTCATAAAATGTTGGTGAATAATTTCATGAGCCTTTTCCCAAACGATTCATAAGTGCATGGTTCGTATATTATAATTATACGATTTCATTGACAGGCCCATTCTCATAGAGTAAAGATTATGAACTATGTTATAATATGGTTTCCAATTTTAGAAATCTAAATCAGTTCATGAATATTTCATGCATATTGATCATGAACTGTGCCATGAAGTGTTCATGAATCACTTCATGAAAATTCATGAGGAATTCATGAAACGCTACCATGAATTATTCATGAATTATTCGTGAATGATTCATGAAATGTTCATGATTACAAGATCATGAAGTATTCATGAACAGCAATTTTCATGAACTGTGCCATTTAATGTTCATGAGAAAATTCATGAAAAGTTCATGAATATAG